GTTCATTATTGGTAAAAACAAAACAACAAAAACCTGGTATTTTTAGTCTCTTAAAAAGCATCTAAAACTTTACAAAGGCAAACAAACTTCTCTGTTAGGATGTTTATTTGTGATGCACAGATTTTCATCACCAGCGCCACAGGAAACAAAATAAAAACAGTTTGTTTCTCTAACAAGTTCAACCATTTTAGTGAAGATAAAAATAAAATGTTATAGAAAACTTTAATATTATGAGCAGAGTTTAGTCTAACAGCTAAAAATAACACACACAACATGAAGTTGACTCCTTAAGCTCTAATTAAGTGTTAAATTAGAGATTTGAATGTTTTATTAAACACAAATTATTTATACAAGTAATCTGAGAACATTTAATCGTTTGAAACGGACATTTAAATATTTTATTGTTTATGTAAATAAAGCCCCAAATGTGTTTTTTAAAAACCCGTAACAGTAATTTAAGTTAACCTGATCATTTTCCTTTTTTTTTTCCAGCTTCTTCTCAAACAACAACTAAAATGCTCTCTGAACATGAAAAAGATGAAACGATGTAATGATCAGATTTTAAAACAGTCTCATGTGAGTTCAGTCGTCTCAGCTGGTTCTGTTCCGTCCAGACGGATTCTGCAGGAAACTGATGAAGAAAATCTTCAATGTTCAAACATTTAACGCCACATGTATAAAACTTGATCGTGGTTTAAGTATTTACTGCTATGGATGCTCAGATTATGTTAATATTTATTGTTGTCAGTGTTTAAAATAATTGTTTTAGTTTTGATCACTTGTTCTTATGTCCGTGTGCTCGTCTCATTTATGATTTTCAACAATAATCAAAACTTCTTAAGGTTAATAAGCTTTAAATTGAGTGTTTTATTTTAATACTTCTGTCTTAATAGCGCTGTGTTTTTGCCCTTTAAAGCTGTGTGCCTTAAATAAAGTTTTCTGTTTTATTTTGAGATTGTTCAGGGGGCCGAGATGGTGTAGAGGCAGGGCAGCCGGCTTGGGACCCAAAAGTCCCAGGTTCGATCCCCAGTCACTGCACATCACGTGGTGTCTCTGGGCAGCACACCTCATCCCCAAAATGCCTCCCGGGCGCTTTCAATAGCTGCCCACTGCACCACCTGGTGGTGGATGGGTTAAATGCAGAGACTAATTTCGCCATTGTATGGAAACATACAGTGCTGACATTGGGATGACATTATTATTATTATTATTATTATTATTATTATTATTGAAAACTGTTTAATGTTTTAATCTGTTAGAGACTTTATGTTCTGAGCCAAACCTTCAGTTTTCTGACACATCCTCCATGTATTTCTGTTTTTCAAACAAATGTGCTTCATTTTACAGTAAATTATTCAACACTTCCTTTTAATTTGACAGATTATTTTTAAAAAGGAGAGAGAAGTGAAACTCCTGTCTGAATATACTTTTTCCTCAAAGCTGTTACTAAATAATTTTGTAGGTTTGTAGTGAAATGTATCGACAAACGAATTTAAAATCCTAAAAGTGGACTACTGTTGCTGAATATTTTTTTAAACATATTTCAAATTAAAGATAATTTTAATCTAAAATGTTGATTAGGATTCTGTCATCCAAGGATTGGTGATTATTTTATGTTCAAAGGTAACTGGAATTGTCATTTTTGAAGATGTTTCCCTTTTTGTTCCAGGAACTTTCCAGTTATTATCCAAATTTATACTAAATTTATTCAATTTTTCATGTGACATATCAAATCTGGAAGCCATAGCAGCCATCTCCTGAATGAGCTGCAGCTTTTCATGCATGGATTAAAATAATACAAAGTAAGAAGTTAGAACGCAAAAAAAAACAGAAACCTTGAAAACAGGAAAAAAAAAAAAATCTGAATTAACATTCTGTAGTGAACTCGGCCTCCGACCAAAACCTGCCTCTGAAGACCTTCATGGGACAGGAACTGTTATTTCATTTATTTGAATCCAGAAATACAAATGAGCTCATCCAGAGACTGTTTAATTGTATCCTGAATTAATCAATTGAAAGAACACTCTTCTTTTTATATTATCATTACTATTTTACAACATCTTGATAATCAAAAGTGGGTTTAGTTCATATCATTTCTAAATGTTGAAGTGAACCACTCATTTTAAATCAACTGTGAAACAGTATTAATGATTATTTTTTAATCCTCATTTAAATTAGAAATCAAGTTAAATGTCTATTTACAAAGTAATTATGCATTTTGATTTTCTGTCTGAATCAACTAATAACTTCTTTCTGACTGTCTCCGACATTCGGTCGAAAGTCGGAGACAGTCAGAAAGAAGTTATTAGAACGAAGTGGATTGTTTTAAACCTAGCAGACAGTAAATAAGAGCAACTGGCACCTGCAAAGTTTCTCACTTCCTCAAAACATTTCCCTGTCTGTACTAAAAGTTCCTAAACATTCTTGCACTTTCTTGACTTGTAGTGACCCTCTGACATCACTAAAACCACCCCCTGTTGGTTGTTTCAACCAATCAGGAAGTCCTGAAGTGACCGGAAGTGAGAACTCTTAAAAGTCCACACTTCCTGGAACTACTCAGTCTGTCGAAGTCTTCTGGGTCTTCTAGTCGAGTTGGGGTCTTCTGCAGTCTTCCACTCCTGAGTGGAAACTCTGACGGACTCGCAGCTTGCTGTGTATCCACCCGGGAGACTAGCGTGTTTGTTGAACGGAGTAAACGACACGACTCCTGACGATGGCCAGCCGCGCTTACCGGAGACGCTGGAAGGTAGCGTTGAAATGGACCCGACACCGGAGCTGATCAATTTCTGCAAAGGTAACGAGTCGTGACGCGCCAAGTGTACCGGAGGTTTGAGCTGGTGTTGAAGGGAGCGTGCCATCCTGGTCCGAACAGACACCCCCTTTTTCCCCATCTTTTCTCTTCATTCTTTCCTTTAAAACTCTTCTATTTTGCCAGTAATCTAAATGCCTTCAGAAATGTCTTGTTGTCTTATTAGTAAAGCGTGCCAAGTTTTATTAATCAGAACCAGATCAGCTAATCAAGTGTACAATGTTTTGATGTTAAATTTTGATTCTGTTCAATAAATGACCACATTTATTCTGATGGGTCAAAGGAAGTTGACGTCTCATGTCACTGATTTAAACACTCCACTCACAGTCATCTCGTCACATGGCCTTAATTTAACTCAAAAAAAGAGAGAACCCGTTATATTTAAATAATTAGTAGTGGAAGGTGCAGCTAAGCTGGCGGTGACTCCACTACAATTCAGAGGATGAAAAGAGGAGCCAATATTTTACATTAGTGTAGAAATTGGTTGTTTTTTTAACTAGTGAACGACAGTGAAAACAGACGATCAGCCTGATCTTTCTGAACCTCGGATGAAGAATAAGAAGTTCGAGTATTTGTGGTATAAAGTGCATTTACCAAACTCAGCAGTTTTACTTCTGTTTATTTAAACCAGTGGAATAAAGTATTACAGGATGACAGCGAGCACAAAATCTGAGCTGGTGGTTAAAACAAACGATAAAAGAACAATCAGACAAAAAAAAACCCATAAAACTTGTTTCCTTCACATCACATTTGTCAAATCTTGCAGATTGAACGTCGTCGAGTTAAACTACGAGGACATCGGTCCAGTGTCTTCAGTGCTTCCACTCATTCAGTCTCTATTTAAGCTTTGAAACAAACATGCATACAAAACTGTACCCTGGTTAAAAATGTTAACCAGTTCATTACTTTCAATTTAAAAAATGGCTAAATGTGTTCATTTATTGCAGGTAATATTCTCTATAAACAACGTCCCTGCACATAATGTTATGTGAACAAGTTTAACCTTTGAATACATCATTTAAAAAAAGTTTGCATCAACTTTCAGTGTAACTATCTCAACATCTTTGTTACAGCAACAAAACCCTCCAGTGTTTGTGTGTGAGGCGTCACAAACACGTGCACGTCGTTATCTTGCATATTCCTACACTGACTCCAGTCCAAAGTACAGTTGTTAAATATAAATTATATGTATAAACTTCTATATTTAACGTACGTATCACTGGACAAATACTTCTCAGCTCCGTGACGGCCGTTATTTGTTCAGAGATCCTGTGACGAGGCGTCTCTGTCTTTGTGTTTGTCCTTTTCTGTTTTATTTGTATAATATTTGTATAAATACGGGAGGAGTACATTTCATCTCTACATGTTTTGGTGCTCTGTTGCGTTATTAAAGTGCCATTTCGTAAATGTTCAGAGCGAGGTATCTACAGAAGTACTGTGCAACCGTTTGTACTAAGAGTTCCTCCGTAGGATGATAATGGTATGAAAAATAAAATGGCTCCAGATCTGTGCAGTTTTAATAGATGTCAGAATTTAGAAACATGTTTATGATGTCATAATGAGGGCAGCACGGTGGTGCAGTTGGAAGAGCTGCTGCCTCTCAGCGAGCAGGTTGTCCTGGTTCAAATCCCGGTCCGGGGGTCTTTCTGGGTGGAGTTTACATGTTCTCTCCGTGCATGTGTGGGTTTTCTCCGGGTACTCCGGTTTCCTCCCACAGACCAAAAACATGCATGTTAGACTGATTGGTAACTAAATTGTCCCTAGGTGTGAGTGAGAGAGAGAATGGTTTGTCTCCATGTGTCCCTGTGATGGACTGGAGACCTGTCCAGGGTGCCCCCCACCTCTCGCACAGTGATGGCTGGACATGGGCACCGGCGACCCCCGTTATCCAAAAAGGAAGAAGCGGGTAAAGATGATGAATGGATGGATGGATGACTAATGGATGGATGGATGATGGATGGATGATTAATGGATGGATGGATGTCATATTGGGAGAAACAAGTGAAGAAATTGAAGATTAAATTCAGACGCCGTGTCGTCAGATGCTGAAGGATGACGAGGCAGAAAACTTCATTTGAAGCTTTAACTCTCGTGTCTGGTGGTTCCTGCAGAACGTCTGTATCTTAATGTGGTTCCTGCAGAACGTCTGTATCTTAACGTGGTTCCTGCAGAACG